CGCTCGGGCCCTGCGCCCCCGCGCCGCCCTTCGCCGCCGCGTCCCGCTTCGCGCCCGGCACCATCTGGTCCTTCTCGCAGGCCCGCCGGCTGGGGCCGGGGCCGGAGACCACCCTGGTGCAGGGCCCGGGCGTCTCCTGGAGCCACCCCGACGGCGTGGGYGTGCAGATAGACACCATCACGCCCGAGATACGGGCGCTCTACAACGTGCTGGCCAAGGTGAAGCGCGAGCGCGACGAGTACAAGCGCAGGTGAGGAGGGGCGCCCGCCGCTGCGCCCAGCGCCGTCCCATGGGGAGCAGGGCGCMCGAGCCGTCCCTGGGCCGCAGGGATGTGGCCCGTGCCCTGGGTTTGGGATTGGGAAGCTGCCAGGTTCTGCCTGGGGGCTCGGGAAGTGCGAGGTGGAGTTGGGAGGCGAGCGGGAGGCTCAGCAGCGTTTGGCCCCGGCGCGGGCGTCCCCCCTTGGCCCCGGTGCGCGCCCTCCCGGCTYGCCTGCCTCCTTTTCCGCTCGCTTTTCAACCCGGTGCGAGGAGCGGAAGTTGCCTTTTCAAGTAGGTCGAGTTGGAAAGAGATAGCGGGACTCCCGGGGCTGGGGCTTTGAAGGGAGGGAAGCCTGGGAACAGCTGGGAAGGAAGAGCAGCCCAAAGACAGCATGCAGCAGAGAMGGAGCTGCCCCGGCTCGGGCTGGGGAGACTCCTGGGGGGAAGAACTCATCCCTCTGGATGTGCATGGATGTGCCGGGCACCCCTCGGCAGGGCTCTTGGAGCCTCCAGCCCCGCTCCATCCCTGGCTCCCTCGCACAGCGCCCGGCACTGCAAAGCCGGGCAGCAGCTCCCGGGACACTTCCTCCCGCCCAGAGCAGCCGCAGCTTGGCACGGGCCTGGAGAAGGGCCAGGGAGACGCCAAACCAATCTCCCGGCCGGGCTTTTGGGTTGTTTTTCCCCTGGGGAGGTGGCCGCTCTTGCCCTGTGCCAGTCGTGCCTCTGTTTCCAGCGGAGCTGAGCGGCGGCTCTGGGATCTGCCCGCGGGATGAGGTCGGGCAGGCGGAGGCGTCGCTGGGTCGGGGCTCCGGGCGAGCGCAGGACAGGGCGGCGCGAGCCAGGGCCTCGCACTGCCCGGGGCACCGGGCCTGAGACGCGTCRCGTCGCTTCGGGATACGTTAGAAGCCGGTAAAAAGAAACGATTCAGTAGCCACAGGGGCAGATGTTGCGTTTTACCCGCTTGAAATGTGCGGCTGACTGGTGCTTTGGACCGCTCTGGTTTGGTGCCAAAGCCGAGGCCTGGGGTCTAGGATGACAGCTCCCGTTTCCGGCTCCATGAGGTGAGAAGGGCTGAGCAGACTTTCCTGTGGAACAGCTGGTGGTCTAAGGACATTGAACAAGGAATGTGGGGAGAAAAAGTTGGCACTGCTGGTTTTATTATGTTGTTGTTGTTTCTTCCTTGCACGGATCTTGCTGCTTTTCCATGCTCTTCAAGCCCCTTAGCATTAAGCGCGAGTCTAGCTCCTTTCCGGAGGCAGGCAGCTCTCCTCGCTCCCGTGTTGCTGGCGGGAGCTAGTGCCGCAGTAGGAGCTAGGAGCGTTTCTGCCACAGACAGCTCCAGGCTCACCTGCTCAAAGCCAGAAGCAGGCAGCCAGCGGCGGAGCTTAGTGGGTTTTCCAGAGGAAAACTGGATTTTCCCTAGGAAAGCTGTGTGGTGCATGTGACGAGGGGCAGGAGGAAGCAAGCGGCCCTCGTGGAGGGAGCGCGGGCTGGACGCGCTGCCGCGGAGCCCTTGGGAGCGCAGCCGAGGCCGCTCTCCGGCTTCCCCTCCCTGGCGCGGGCGGAAGGGCTGGCCCACCACTGGGAAGGTGGGAGAGGGTGGCGAGAGGGCACCAAGTGCATGCCGAAGCGCCGCTGCTCCCGTGGCTCCGTGCGCCGGCCGCGGGCCGCCGCAGTTGCTGGTGCTGCCGCAGCTCTGGGAGCACAGCGGGATTTTCCGCCCGTGCCTGGAAGGCCCCGGGGCGGGCGGGGAGCTGGGCGAGGGCCGGGGCAGTGGGGGCTGCTCCGGGGCCAATGCTCTTGGGGCGGCCTATTTTTAGCCGTGTTGCCAGGAGAGGTGCCGGGAGGGAGCAGACCCCACCCCCGACCCCTTCCGGCACCGGGCACTTCCCCAAAGTGCCTCCCGCGGTCCCAAATATGGGAATGGGAGAAGAGGGTCCCGCTCCCGTGCCCTTCCCGTGCTGAGGACAGGCCCTGGGGTCCCGCTCTGCTCGCCTGGAGCAGAGACCCTCCTGTTGCGCCAGGCTGTGGGCACTGCGGGCACCAGGCGGCCGCAGGGCAGGGTGCAGGGGCTGCCGAAACGCGGGGCTCCCTCTGGCTTCACCAGTGAGGCCTGGGCAGGGTGCAGGGGCCCTCGTAACGCGGGGCTCCCTCTGGCTTTGCCATCGCCCTCACAGCGGCCCTGGGCCGCAGGCCACCGTGTCCCTGCACGGCCGAGGGAGGCGGCCGCGGAGCAGAGCCCAGCGGAGCGGAGCCGGGCGGCAGGAGGAGCCTCCCGCGCTCCTTGTGCCCCGCTTGAAGTGGGGCTTGAGGCTCTGGGGAGGCTCAAGAAGGGAGAGGGCAGCTCCTGGGCGAGGGCAGCGCCCCACGAGGGCCGCGGGCAGGGGGGCGGCCGCGCGCAGCCTGCCAGGGACTGGGATCGGGGGCTGCCGCTGGAGCTGGTCTCTGCCCGCTCCGTCTGCATCCAGGTGGCTTTGGCTTTGGGTACCGTAAGYGCACAGGGGCTGGCGGGTGTGTAGTGCTGTGTTACAGGGGTGCTTTGCACGCCCTGCGAGACAGTGCAGCCCTCTGCAGGGAATGGATGGCTAAAGTTCCRAGTCGTTTCAAGCGTGGAGAAGGGCAGTGCCCGGCTTGGAGTGCCGTCGACCTGCATGGCATCCTGCAGCACCGGCACACGGCCGCTGTGCGCCGCGGTCAGGCTGAGCGGTGTTTGCAAGAGCAGGGCTTGTTCGGGCTGGGGGGTTGTTCCGCTCCGTGAGCGTCTCCAGAAGGACACGCGCCGGGGAGGGGGCTGCGGACGGGAATGCGGCCGTGGGCCCTCGGCTGTGCCAGAGCTGGCCCGTGGCCGGGAGCGGGTCCGGTGCTGCCGTGTGCTCCGTGTGCCGCCGCGGTCAGTGCTGGGGCGGGCTGGGCACCGTGGGGAGCGAGCGCGTCCCCCCGGCCAGGGGACGGCGCCGCGGGGCTGTCYCCGCGCAGGGAAGGCACCCCCAGCAGCAGCCGCCTGGCAGCTCCTCCTGGCAGCTCCTCCTGGCAGCTCCTCCTGGCAGCTCCGGGCTGCGGCGGGCGGCGCGGGCGGGTTGTCCCTAGGAGTGCTGCATTGCAGAACCGGCTGGCAGCGCGGAGCCGGGAGCGCTGGGCGGCACCGAGCGGCGCCGCGCATCTACTGCCCGCAGCGAGAGCCGCCGGTGCCTCCGGCCCGGGGGGAACAGAGCGTATCCCGCCTGTGCTCGACACAGCGGCAACGTGGAATGAATCCATCCGAGGACCTGCCGTGGAGTCTCCTTCCCAGTACGGAGGGAGGCGGAGGCTGAGCGAGCTTCCCGACAGGGACAGCATTTTGTGCCGGGAATGCGTTTTCTCCCTAGGGATGGGGGCTTGTGTGAAGCTGCCTTCCCATATAAGGAAAATTCTACCTTTTAACCTTCTTTTTCCCTCTCTCTCCATCTTTTCTTTTCCACAAAGGGACTCCCCTCYTGTAGCTGCCAGTGCTAGGACTGAGCACTTCCCTTTTGTAGGGAAAAGGAGAAGAATCGCCAGCTTCATGGGCCTAGAAATCCGTAGATTTAGGGCTGTCCCAACCTAAGCTTGTCTTGAAACCCTGCAGTAGCAAACATGGGGGCTTCTTGTTGGCTTTCTGGTCTCTTAAGTCTTAGGATTTATTTTTCGAAGTTGCTGCAGAGGAAGATGCGCAGCCTGCAAAGCTGGCGTCACAGTGTGGGCACTCGCAAGTGTTAAGCAGACGCTAGAGAGGGGCCTCCTGGCCAGGGCCTGGCTCTGGTGGCCTTCCCGGGGCGATTCTGCTGTCCCAGAGGAACAGGCAGGCGAGCGGGACGAGCGCAGCGGTCCCGGCCGAGTGCCGGGCACGGCGTCTGCGCCACCCCTTCGCTTTCTGCCCCACCAGGGCCTGGCGGCCTCCCCGCAAAGCCTGCCGTGGGGCAGCACTGCAGCGTGGCCCCAGGTGACGGGCTCGTTGCAGCAGGATGTACCCGAGCCCCCTGCCTTGCAGCCTGTCTCTGCACAGACAGGCCCGGCTCCTCACRACTCGGCCTGGCACAGCTTTGTGTGGAGCTGCTGGACCTAATGCAGCAGCGCCCGTCCAATCCAGCCTTCCTGTGGGMTGGCTAGTGTGGTGCAGCCTTGAATGAAACAGGAGAATCCATCATGCCTCCACACAGGATAGAAGAGCATTTTGCTCTCCAGCCTGTTAGCTGGGAAGGGGCTGGGAAGCCCCTCGCCCCGGCCGGGGAAGYGTGGCCGGGCGCAGGGAAGCCCTTTGCTGCAGCCTGGTGGGGCCGGCAGCCGCAGCTCAGCTCCTCGGGCTGCAGCAGGGCCCGGCGCTGCGAGCAGCGCCCGAGGGCTCCGCCGTGTCCGGAGGAGCAGGCAGCCCGGGGCTGCGCGTGGTAAGGAGCGCGGAATGAGTCTGGAGCATTCGGAGTGAGCCTGGAGCGAGCCCGGTGCATGTGGAGTGAGCTCGGAGCGAGCCCGGTGCGCAGCTCCGCCGGCATGGGCTCATGGCGAGGGGAGCTGACGGGCATTGGGCAGCTGTGGCTGCCTGCAAGCAGAGCGCCGCGTTCCCGGTGCGTTCCTGCTGCCCACCGCCGCCCCGGGAATGCTCCGGGGTGAGGCGGGAGGGAGCCYTGCCCTCGCCAGCAGCGCTTGTCTCCGCAGGTGGGAAGAGGAGTACACGGTGCGCGTGCAGCTCCAGGAGCGCGTGGCCGAGCTGCAGGAGGTGAGTAGCCTGTCGCCCCGCGCACCGCGGCCGCCCCGCTCGCCCTGACCCACGGCTCTCCCTCCGCGCGGGGCAGGAGGCCCAGGAGGCTGAAGCCTGCCAGGAGGAGCTCGCGATGAAGGTGGAGCAGCTCAAGGCAGAGCTTGTAGTCTTCAAGGGACTGATGAGCAATGTGAGTCCTGGCCCCTGCTCCAGCCTGGCAGTGCGTCCGGAGGGAAGGTGAACGTGGTCGCAGCCCCTAGGGACTCCTGTTGCTAATAGGAACAGGAAGGCTCTGGCTGCTGGGTGCCTTGTCTAATCCTCCTCCTTTGTCCCACTCCTGTGGTGCTCTTGTGTGTTCAGAACATCACCGAGCTGGACACCAAGATTCAGGAGAAGGCCATGAAGGTGGACATGGACATCTGCCGGCGCATCGACATCACTGCCAAGCTGTGCGACGTGGCGCAGCAGCGCAACTGCGAGGACATGATCAAGATGTTCCAGGTGAGAGGCGCGTGCTGCTCGCCCACGTTGGCAGCCGTCTCTGCCACAGGGAGGAGCGTTCCCAAAGGAGGGAGAAGGCTGAGACAAGAACAGTTCCCTGCTGGGGGAGACGCYCGGTCCCCCCGGCCCTTGTTCCACACGGACCTTGCTCGCTCTGTCTGTCTCTTTCTCTCTCTTGGATGCTGTGCCCTGGGAGCCTCAGGTAAAAGGGCACAGAGAGGGGGCAGGGGCTCCACATCTTGCTTCAGGCAGCAAGAGTCCCCTCAAATTTTTGGGGGTTCTTTTTTTGTTCTGTAGTGTTGGGCCCTGAGACCCCACAGTGACAGGGAAGCAGTTGCAGGAGGGAGATAAGGTGCCTGAGTGTCTGTCTCTAACTCCATCTCTCTCCTTCCCCTCCCCTCTCCGTCATCTTCTCTCTGTCTCTCTTCTGTCTCCTGTCACTCTTTTCTTTCTGGATGTTGCTGCCTTTCTCTCTCTCTCTCTTTTCTTTTTTTTCTTTTTTTTTTTTCCTACAGAAGCAGCTGGTTAGTTTCATTCAGTTGAGAAAGGGTACAAACTATAAGCTTTCTRTAAAGTAAGGTTGGACTGTAAAAATTGACATATTTCACTTTTTTTAGACTCTTGTCTATTTTTTCCTGTCTCTTTTGCTGTACTTGCCTCTGTCTCTGAATTGGGGTGGTGGGTGATTTGAGTTCTGCAATTAAACCACGTTGTTTTCTCATCAGATTCATAGTTTCCATCTTTAGTTGCTTAGTTTTATTTTTAGAAAATGCTAAAACCATACTTTACCATTGCATCATCTTTAACCTGGTCATAATAAGCCCGTCTTTCTCTCTTTCTCTCTCACTTCTCTTCCTTCCTTTCTTCCTTTCTTTCTTTCCATCTCTCCCTGTCTTTCTGTCCCTCCACCGTTCCTTTTCCCTYCATCTCCTCCTCTCAACTACCTGCTCCTGACCTCGGACCCGGCCTCGTTTCTGTAGTCTCTGCACTTGTCTCCCGTTAAGGTCCCAGCCTCGATGGGGCGGAAGCGGGAACGGAAGCAGGTCAGCGACGAGGACACTTCGCTCTCTGAGAGTGATGCCTCCCGAAAGCCTGAAGAGGAGGAGGAGGACGAGACCACAGCCATGAGTATCAATGAGGAAATGCAGAGGATGCTGAACCAGCTGTGAGTGCGGCCTGGCCTTGCTCCAGCCTCCCCCCGGCAGCTCCACACCTCTCCTCTCCGCCCTGAGGAAGACACTTGTGCAGATTGGCTGCTGCCGCCCCATATCCCAGCGTAGCGCTGAGCCCCCAGCCCCACGGCCGGCCCCACTGTGGGCACGGGCTGTGGCRTGGTGCCACACGTGGGGAGAGCAGCCTGCCACGCTCCCAACAGGCCTGGTGACAGTGCTTGTCCTCGTGGGGCAGCAGCCCCTGCGTGCGAAGGCTGCTGCGTGGGGAGGAGCTGTCGGCAGCCCCTGTTTCGGGAAGAGGCCGAGAAGGGGGCGGCTGCTGCAGATCAGTGTTTATGCCCTGCGCTCTACAGCTCCACCCTGCTAGGGCTGACCCTGCAGGAGACCAGGGCCCGAGCCCGGCTGTACTGCGCGCGGGGGCTCGGGCCCAGCATGTGGCTCTAGCCGGAGCTGTGTTTCTGCCTTGTACTCCTGCTCCCAGGTCCTGCGGGAGGTGCTTCTAGCTCACTGTCCGCCCCCTGAGCAGGGCATGAGGTGTATTTTTGCCATAGGGCCTGCCTCAGTTTCCCTTGTGCCCTCCCATGCAGAACAATGCCCTTTGGGGTGGTCTGTTGCATGCTGAGCAACAGCATATCCCCTTGCATTCCTCCTATTACCAGCATTCCTAGGTTTGGGGGATCATCACTGGCACTTGTTAGGGCTCCTGGTCATCAAGTCGGTGCCTTCCCCATCAGCTGTCGGTTCTGTGCAGGTCTGAGCTCACCCAGACCAGGACCCGTGACAGTTACAGCCCTGCCTGCAAGCAGGAGCAAAGACGGGCCCTGCTGCTGTGGAACGGCCCAGGCAGCACCCAGCTCCCTGCTCCCAACTGCCCTCCCAGATATGAGTTTTCTGCTCTGTGCTGATGTGCTCTTCCCTTGYCTCCAGGAGGGAATATGACTTTGAAGATGACTGTGACAGCCTCACGTGGGAGGAGACGGAAGAAACGCTGCTGCTCTGGGAGGATTTCTCGGGATATGCCATTGCAGCTGCAGAGGTGCAGGGGGAGGTAACGGTAGTGTCAGGTTCTCCATCAGATACAGGCCTGGGCTGGCACTTTCTCTCTGGGAGAGAAACTTGATCCTGCCTGAGCCTGGAGAGATGCTCCTTCAAAGRCCAAACTTCAGCCCTTCCCAGAATCATTCTGTGCCTTAGAGGCCTGTACAGGTATTTTCCTCCCTCTCCTTTGCTCATTAGCATGTCCCTGTGAGGGCCGTCACCTCCCACTGCTCACAGAGCCCCRGGCTGGAAGGCCTGCTAAAGAGCAGAGGTGCCTTTCCCAGCTGCAGCCCCTGGAGAARAGAGTCCCTGCCCGTTCTGGATTCTGGCAGGCCCCTGTTTGGTCTCTCCAGCCCATTTCTGGAGCAGGGCAGCAGCGTGTTCTGTTCAGCCCAAGCTCGGGTCCCACAGGCTAGCCAAAGCTGCTGTCGGTTTGCATCTTTTGACCTTATCAGTCCACTGGGGTTGTGTTGTGTTTGGACTTGGTCTGTGAATCTACTGTCCTCTAATATCTCTGTGCATTGCTGGGCCTTTTCTGGGCTGAAGTGCTCACTGACCAAGGTGATAGGTCTCAGGTCTCTTTACCTTGCTAGTTGCTGGGACTGAGTCCTGCCTTATATCGTTCTGACTAACTACACTGCTTCTATGTCTCCTCTTTGTCTGCTGTTACCAGTTCTTTTTCTAACCTCTCTCTCTTTCCTTTGGTTCTTCGTGTTGGACATCTCTCTGCCTCTAAACGTGCTGTCTCCTCTCCCCAGCAGCAGGATGACAGCCTGGAGAAGGTGATCAAGGACACAGAGTCATTGTTCAAGAGCCGTGAGAAGGAGTATCAGGAAACCATCGACCAAATAGAGGTGGGAGGAGGAGGAAGTGGGGAGGCCATGACACAAAAGGGTGGGAAACAAGGGAGTGGGATCCCCAGAGGAGGAAGAAACAAACTGCTAGAGCAGGTAGCTGGTAATGGGGGGTGGCAGCCTAGGATCTGGCTGTGCCCCCTGTTCTGCACTGCGCTCATCTCTGCACTGCTTCCCTTGTGCAGCTGGAGCTGGCCACGGCCAAGAACGACATGAACCGGCACCTGCACGAGTACATGGAGATGTGCAGCATGAAGCGGGGCTTGGACGTTCAGATGGAGACCTGCCGGCGGCTCATCACTCAGTCTGGGGACAGGTGAGCTTGAGCCAGAGGGCCRGGATGCCCATGGGAACACTGGAGCCCGAGTGGTGCCGACTGGGGGCTGGCAGCAGTTGATGGTCCTGCCTACCCTGTCCTGATGTGGTGTGGGGAGAGGACAATCCATGGCATTCCCAGCRACGGCAGCCGCGCAGGCCATCGTGCTGCCCCTTCCGAAGGGGGACTGCGCCCAGGGGACGGGTTTGGCAGGCGACTGTGGGAAGAGACCCTGGCAGAGAAAGGAGCTGGTGGGCAGGGGTGCCGCGTGGGCTGGTGGGCGCGCGCAGGCAGAGCGGCTCGCGGCGGGCGGGCTCTGCCCTCGCCCAGCCTCGCGCAGCCGCCTGGGCCCGCTCTCGGCAGCCTCCACTGGCACTTCCCCCCACGCTGCTTCATGCTGTGGTGTCTTGGCCCCCCTGCTTCAGCAGGTGCTCGCTGGGACCGTCCCCAGTGCCGCCGCGGTGACGTGTGTGAGTCCCAGGGGGAGTGACAGGGGTATTCCAGCTTCTCTTGCTGCTTTGATACCCCACCCAGCTAGAGGGCATGCAGGYCCTTCCCCTTCTCCTCAGCACTGATTTGACCTCAGCCCTTTATTCTTCTTTCCAGGAAGTCTCCTGCCTTCACCCCAGCCTCAAACAGTGAATCGGCCCCAAATGAGGAAAGTGAAGAGTCTGATCGTGATCCCCCAAGCGATGCCTCCATCAGATAATTAGGGGAGGCCCTGTTCCTTCAGCACCTCTTCCTGGCTAAGGGGTGTCTGAGCTGTGCCTAGGAGAGACTAAGAGGGACATGGAGCCTCTGGTGAACTTCTGTCACCCGGGCCAGCCCCAGTTGGGGGTGGCTGGCAGATCCCCTCACATGGGATGCCCTGTAAATGGGAATAGCTAGATAGATCTGAGGGCCCTTATCTGGTCTCCTCATCCTCCACCCCCTCTCTATTCCCTTTCCCTGCTTCGGTTCAGTTGCGGTTCAGACAGGGAGGCTCCACGTTTACCACGGCACTGTTCTTCAGGTAGTGTCCCCAGGTCCTCCCAAGCACACCTGCTCCAGCCCGTGTCCTGGTGTACTTGAGCTGCCCCTCTCCTCCTGCCCACCTTGTGCTGCACAGAAGCAGAACCAGAGCTGTACCTCTCTGCAAACTGGACCTCATACTGGTGCCAACTGGACCGAGCCCTGGACTCCCTCTATCCCTGCTGCTCCCTGAGCACGTGTGGTCCCAGCACCACACCAGGTACCAGGAGCACCTCCTCCTCCAGCGTACGGACCGAGTCCTGCTCGCCATGCACTTTGCTTTGCTGCGCGCTCGTGGTGCGTGCGTCACGCACGTGTACGTGTTAGTTTGGGAAATGAGGGATCATTAAATGGGACAGTTACCTTTTTCTACAGCTTCTCTGAGTGTGGCTTCTCACTGTGCTGCAGCAGGAGCTGGAGTGTGCTGCGCCAAGGAGAAATTCCCTGTGGTCTTCCTGTGCCAGGCCCTGTTCCAAGCTTCCTTTGGCTGGGGTCTCCCTCAGGACAGGGATACTGCTGTCCCTCAGCTAGGTCTGGCTGGCAGGAGCACATTGGCCAAGAGGTCTGCACTTCTGGAGTCACAAGCCCTCCAAGGACCACGTGTAGCACTAATACTGCATGGACTGAACTTCATGTTAGAAATAAAACGGAGCATTGTTCTGGTGGAACCAACACTTGTGGCACCTGCTTCTGCAGGTGCATTGGTGCATCTGTGCCTCTCTGCCATAGACCTATGTGTGTGTTCCCACTTGAGCTTTCTCACAATTCCTTTTTTTTTTTTTTTTTTAAACATTTGCTTTTCCACCAACTCAAGAGTCAGCAGGAGGGCTGGTGCTGGGGGTGGAGGGAAGGAAGGAATTGCTGATCGCAGTTCTACTGTGGGAACAATGCTGCGGTTGGCTTGGGCCTTGTGGAACCTTCCCACCTGCTAGCTTGGGCTTTTCTGCCCCATCAGCTCTTTGCCACAGCATCCCAGAGGCTCCTCTTGCCTTTCCTCAGTCCCAGGCATAATCACAGACAGGGATGCCTCTGTCCTGCTGCCCACTGTGGCAGAGACTCCTGCACCTTGCACCTCTTCCTCCAGCGATGTGACATTTGTGATGTCTGTGGTGGGAGGCAGGGGCTGGTGGCATGCCGCGAGGTCCTGCTGTGCTGGGGTAGCTGCACATCAGTGGAGCCAGGCTGCACAGCATGGGAGCGTTCAGAGAGAAGTGCTTCTCAGAAAAGGCCATGAAGAGAAGATAAAGTAGATTGTGGTAGAGTTTTACAGGGTCTCTGAATGTAAGCCCAGGAGTTTAGATCCTCTACAGGTTAGGCAGATAAAAAGGGGGAGTGTGGGGGGAAATACAGCAGTTCAGCTGCGTAGGTAGCCCCACAGCTTTGGGCTGCACAGCTAGTGCTGCCGTGCACTCGGGCTGTGAGCGCTTGCCCGTCCCCCCAGCACAAAGCAGAGGGTCGGCAGCGGAGCAGGGTGAGGTGCGTTGCCTGTGCCTGCAGGCTCTGCTGAGGCCTGCGTCAGCAGCTGGGTTTAGCTTCCACTGCCTGGGCAGATGGGGCCAGGGGCGGTGGGCCAGTAAAGCTGGGCGAATTTCAAGGCAAGTCAGTAGCTGGGTGAAACTCCAGGCCAGGTACAGCTGGGGACATGCTCATAGTAYGGGTGAGTTGCTGTTCTTTAAGCTCTTGCTGGGGTCCAAGCCTCRGGTGCTGCATTCACCTTCCATCAGGAAGCTGGAAGAGGGTTTTAGGGCYGCAGCGTGGCCACCGCTGGGGGCTCGGGGGAAGGGGCTGCCCGGGCCCAGGCCCAGGCCTGTGCCCGGCCCTGGGCTGCCTGTGGCGAGGCGAGACGCGGCGTGGTTGCTTACACCGTGGCCTCGCGCCCGCCTCACCTCCCGCGCCGGGTTTGCTTGATCCCTCTACTTGTCTTTTTCCTTCCTAAAAGAACAACAACAACAAAAACACAGAGCAAGTACATTAATCTGTGCCCTAGCTTTTTGTTTCGAGAAAGGATCCCTCACACGCAGTAGCTGTTGGTTCATTTTGCCTCTTGCCCGGAACTTCTTCGGTGCGTGCAAACTCCATTTCCCATTCCCATTTCTTTGTGGTTTTTTTCCTGCTCTTTTTCTGGGGCAGAAATCTCTGTGACTGGCTGACAAACCTGGTTTCCTCTGCGAATAATCACACATACCTGGGGCTGTGGCCCAAGCCCCACAAGACAGTTGAACATGCACTTGATGATAGTTTTTGAGCATCAAGCACAGGAGGACCAGCTGTTCTACCTCCAGAAATTTTTGATTAGAGGAGCAGCTGTTGCTGCCAGACCCCTGTGTACACATGGGGACCTGAGTACTGTCAGACTTCCATTCTCAGTGAAACAAATGTGCAGGTTGCTGCTATTTATTGTTGAATTGTGTTGCTGGTGTTAGGCTCTGCCCTCCCACCAGTGTGAAAGCCCGTGAGATGCCACCGGCAGGACTTGCAGCACAGGTTCTGTACTTCCTCAACGTGGGAGGCAAGGCCTCGGGCCTTCAGTGTCAGCCAGACCAAGATGCACTCTTTTGCATCTGCTTGTCTATCCCTCAGTCGTAACCCTGTGTCTTTGTTGATGGATGTGAGAAGCAAAGAAGTCCATTTATGTAAGTCTTTCCTGAGGCCTCACCTCCTTTATTTGGGAAGTATCTGGCTTCTTTTTCTGCAGCGTGATCTCTACCAGGTGCCATAACATCATGGAACTGTACAGCACTGCACTGCACCTCAGCTCCCTGACCTTACCCCTTCTCCAGGACTACTCTCACCAGCACCAGCTTARGAAGCATTACGGGAAGAAACTCTTTAGAGGAGACCCAGATCTTGCTGCTTTCTGAACAGAAAATCCTATCCAGGTCTTTCTGAACGTCTAGTCCATATTCATCTCACAAGGAAYGAACTTGTGTCACTTTTACCCAACGCCTTCAAAACCTTTGTATTTAAAGTGAACTTTCTCAAGCTCTCTGTTGCAAGGGTAGGTTGGCAGCAGGTTGAGGGGCCTTTTCTTATCCTTGACCCAGCTGATGAGTTGGTGAAATGATCTTTAGAGGAGCAGGTCACTTGCTGTCTCCAACTGACAGTGCTCACTGGTGACTTATCTGAACCAAGCATGGTTGCTAGCAGACCAAAGCAGACCTTAGCACTCAGGGGACAAGGGCTTGTCTTGTTCAGTGTCCATGCATTGCAGGTCTTTTGCCCAGGTATATGTCAAGTAAGGACGTGCATTGCTGAATGGTGTCCCATGGGATGAGCACCTGAGACCACCCATCCAGGCAGTCTCACTCTCAGTTTCCATTTCAGGAGTCTTCAGATGTGACTGCCATCTGATCACCTCCGTGAATAGCTGTCCAAGGCCATCCTTTCAGGATTCTGTCTCTCTAAATTGGCAATGAGGTCCTCCCACTGAATATTTAGGCAGGCCACTTCAGCTTCCTCACTCTACACAAGTCCCTGTTAGTGGACACTTGCTTAGACAGCCTGGAAACAAAGCAAACCAACCTGCTAGTGATTGCTCTGTCTTCTCAATCCCCAACATTTGGACTATTGTGTGCAGGTGAGAACAGGCTTGATTTCTGTATCAGCAAGGGGAGTGGCATGAAATCTCCCCTTGAGGATGTCCCCAGGCTGGAACAGACCTGCTTGTCATTATCCAGCGTACATTGCCTTGTGAGACACAATTATATGTACAAGGCAATTACATTGCCTTGGTGAGGCACCAAGGGGCCCTGTCAGCCTGTGGGCCAGGGAGAAAGACACAGCTCTGTCTCGGCTGCTGGATTCCATGCAAGCTGTGCTGAGATCAGCCTCTTGGCAAGGGCCATCAGCAGAAGGTGCTGAGCACTGTGCTCTAAGGCAATTGAGTTTTCTCATAAAGACTCACAGCTCTCTCCACAGAGAGGGCAAGGAGCACCTGCACTCCTTGCACTTCACTACGTGGGTGTGGAATGCGCTTACTACTGGCTCCACAGAGAGCTCAGACATCTACCCACTAATTAGCCAAGATCTTTCTCCTTGTGTTCAGGCAGATGTGAGCTCTCTCCCTCCTTTCACTTCAACCTTAATTCTGTCTATTTTAAATCATATCTTGGAACTGACAAACTCTGAGTCTGTCTGTTCAGTTAAGGTCCACTTACCAGTAGTTTCCACCCAGCACCCTTCTGCTGAGGGCTCTTTGTCATCAGTCCCACAGTACCCAGCGCTGTGTGAGTTGGCTTTTCCTTGCTTCAGGATTCCTTAGATGGACCTAAATGTGGTGCTGACAACCTTATTGGTGGAACTTTTGAGCCCCCAGTAAGCTGTTGAATATTCCATTTACCTTCTCTCTCAGCCAGAAGGGTGGGAGAGATCTAAGCTGCATAAAAGTTTGGTCTTGTTTCTGGATTTGAGCTAGGAGATTAATAGATCTTGTAGTTCTGTGTCAAAAACTTTATTTCTTCTCAGGAAGGTCGTGGTCTTCATATGCTTAGGTGTGGTTTGGATGGTCATTGATATTTTATAGAGAGAAAGACATGGACCAGCTCAGCAAGAGGGGCTGAGAATAGAAGACTGAAGTCTGCTCTGAATCAGCCAGGACAGCATACTGGATGGTGAGACCCTCTYGCCTAGAGCCTTAGCTGTGCTTTTTATCTCCAGCTTTTTAATCTTCAGCTGCATTCACCACCTGGAAAGCCACTTGTGCCTTCATCAAGCATGACCCTCAGAGTGGCCAGGGAATGGTACAGACTAATGCTGATATTGATGGCACAAAACTTCACCACTGTCTTCAGGATTGTAGTGGGATGGGCGTCTGGGAGGGCATCTCTTGGAATCCCCCTAAATCAGAACAGGAGATTAAAAAAAAAAAAAAAAGTCATTAGAGCTTCTTGGTACCTATGGTACATGCATGCACTTGGTCCAGGGCCACCTTCTCTAATTCATTTCTTTCCTTTGGAGAATAAGCTAAAACGAGTAGAGCCCAGAAAGGTCCACTGTGCCCAGCAGTCGTGCTGCACATGGGGCAGGGCCGGAGTGCCCAGCRCAGGTACTTCTCAGGCTACAAGAGGCCCCACTCTGAGGTACTTGTGGCACAGAGTCTCCCCAAACTCACACATGCTATTTAACTACATTTGACTATGCCAGATGCTCAGGTTACTGTTAAGAAAATGCTTTTTAAGGTCAGAAGTAACATGGAATACAGTGAAGTGCTTTSCCCTTGGAGATAAGGAATGAGGCATGGATAGGCTCATGAAGCCATCTGACAAGTCCCTCTTCATGATGATTAATGCTAGGAGCAATGGTAAGACAGCATGGAGAAATGCATGGGCTATAAACAATTTTAGGGAAGTCCGGTCACTTTTGAAAGTCTTCCAAAGGATGCAAGAGATTTTAAGAGCTGTTTTAGAGTGCAATTTTGTAAATGATTT